GAGCTTGCAGTGAGCCGAGATCGCACCACTGCACTCCAGCCTGGGCGGCAGAGCAAGACTTCATCTCAAAAAAAAGGAAGAGAGAGAGAAAACGACTGCAAAATTATGTCTAGAGTTCTATGATATGGGGCACCCAGGCCTCTAAAATACCCTTGCTGTCCCCCATGACCTTGAGGACCAAATGCCTGCCATGCCTTGGGTCTCTGACTCCCGGCTACACAGCACACCCAGCACTGCACTCCGGTGCGGTGACTGGTTTTCCAGAGGTCCCAGAGGAGGCTGGGTGCACAGAGTCCAACTGAGGAGCCTCAGAAGGAGTGGAAGATAGATGGGTTAATTTCCATCGTAATTACAGCAAGTCGTTGGGCAAAACTCCGCCAGAGAGGTCTGTTGGGGAGAGAGTGGCATGACGCACTGACAGGTCCCTGGGTCCAGTAAAGGCTGCCACCTGGCGTGGCCCCAGGACTGGGCAGATTTGGGCCTCGGTGCCTCCAAGGCACCGAGGGTGGGACTAGGCCAAGCCTGCACACCTGTGCAGGCCAAGGTGCAGGAGGCGGGAAATCCAGGCAGGCCTGGGTGTGAGGACAGGTTGTGGAGGCCTGCACTGCCAACCCCTTACCCATCCAAAGCATGGCTCTGAGTCAAGGCAACTACTTGGCGGGCAAGCTGGTGAGGTGTGCGAGGGGCACAGTGAGGCTCGAGGGAGGGAGTGAAGAGTGAGATTCAGAAGCAGAAGACTCAGGTGAGCAGCTGAAGACAGGGTGACTTGGATACCAGAGGGGCTCCCTGAGCTACCTGGACAACGATTAAGTATCCCCTCCAGCCCCAGGGTCCACAGGACAGCCCAGCTCCTGGAAGCCCAATTCCCCTTCAGTGACAATCCAATTTCTCTTGTTGTCTAGGCTGGGGTACAGTGGTGTGATCCGGGCTCACTGCAACCTCCTTCTCTCAGGTTCAAGTGCTTCTCTTGCCTCAGCCTTTTGAGTAGCTGGGATTACAGATGCCCGCCACCACGCCCAGCTAATTTTTGTTTGTTTTTTGAGATGGAGTCTCACTCTGTCACCCAGGCTGGAGTGCAATGGCAGGACCTCAGCTCACTGCAACCTCCGGCTCCTGGGTTCAAGCGATTCTCCTTCCTTCAGCCTCCTGAATAGCTGGGATTACAGACACCCCTCACCACGCCCAGCTAATTTTTGTATTTTTAGTAGACATGGGGTTTCATCATGTTGGTCAGTCTGGTCTCAAACTCCTGACCTCAGGTCATCTGCCTGCCTCGGCATCCCAAAATGCTGGGATTATAGGCGTGACCCACCGTGCCTGGCCTATTTTTATTATTTTTGTAAATGTCTCACTCCGGGCAAATTGAAGGATGTGGTGCTCACCAGGGGGTGGGGGTGAGACAAGGGAGGGAGAAACGTGGGGCCTGGGTTAGGCTATGCCGCCCCACTTCTGCGGAGTCTGGACCCCCACGCCCCCATCCTCCGAGATGACAAAGGAGCAGGTCGGGATGCCAAGATGTCTCAGGGTGTTGAACACAAGCTGTGTGTGCGGCGGCCCCGTCACATGTGGCCCACATTGACAATGCCACGGGAAGCCTGTGTGCCAGTGCCCGGTGGCTGAGGACACACTGTGGTCCTCCCAGGTGCTTGACTCCCCCAGGTCGTAAGTTTCAGCTGCTGCACGTCATGGTCACGGGGCAGATGCCCTGCTGAGGACACTGGGCCGCGTTTGCAGACTTGAGGCACCCACATCTTGAAGGGCCTTGTGTGGACACTGCCCTTACCCTCAGGCCGGCCCCTCCTGTCCTGAACTCCCACAGGACTGGTTGCCTGAGAACTGTGCATGTGGGGCTGCAGGACCTCAACAGCCCCAGGTCTCCTTTCTCCATGTGGCCCCCCAACCTGCAGAGATGTGCTGCCTCCAGGCCCCTGGCATCCCAGCCCAGCTGAACCCATGAAGAACAAGCCTCCCACCTTCCCCACCCCAGAGACATGCCGGGGCCTGTCCCTCCATTGAGTCAGTCTCTCACACACGCACCCAAACAGGTGACAGGGCAAGCCTGCCCCACCCATGCCCCCCACACCATCACCTTGGACCCAGAAACACTGCCCAAGAGGGTGTCGGGCTTCCAAAGACACGGAGATGCGGAGCCACAGCCCATCCCTCTGTGCCTGTGGGTGGAGCATGGCGGAGGGCAGCCCCAAATTGCAGCCCTGGGGGTGCCCGAGTTCACCCTGGTGGTGCCCGAGTCAGAGGCAGCTGCTCCCAAGGATGTGCTGGGGGCTGGGTGGGGTCTGTCTTTGTGGACAGCAGAAAACCAACCATGGGGCCTTCCCATGCCCTTGGTGGCCAGGCCACATCAGCTTTGTGGGATATAAGGCTCCGGCAGCGAGGCACTCCCAGCAGGCCACACGCCCTGGCCTGGGAGTAGAAACCCACAGGACTCTCAGAAAAAGCCCAGAAGCTTGCAGCCTGTGAGGGGCAGTGCGGCAGCCCAGGAGGGAAGAGCTGACTGGGAGGGTCATGCTGGGCTGTGCCATGGTCAGCCGCCCGGATGATGGCACTTGCATTCTGCCCCCCAGCTCCTTCTCTCCATTTCTCAGCCCTCGACCCGTGAGGAGGAAAGCACAGGACAATGCGGGCCAGGCCCCAGCAGCCAGGTGGGGCGGGTGGGGCTGCTGTGAGGCATGTGAATGCACCTGACTGGAGCAGAGGAAACCAGTTCTTTGGTACTGAAGCAACAAAAAGCTGTCAGGGAAGAGCCACATCTCCTAAGCAAAGGTCGGGGAAGCAAGCTGTACCCTTCCCAGTAGCGCTGAGAGTCCCAGGGGAAGAAAAGACCGGGGCTCACTCCTCCAGGCAGGGTTCCTTCCCACCCTGTTAAGCTAGCCCTGCTCAGCCACCACAGGGCATACCAGGCGGCAGCCAGGGTGAGGATGGGAAGGGCCCACCTCCCTCAAGGTGAGAAGCTGGGCTGTCCAACCTCTAACCTCTGACCTCTGAAGCAAGCCTGAATGCAGGGCCAGCAGCAGGACCCCGAGAGCAGCATGGGGGACACCCCTCAGACTCTCACCCAGCCAGGCACCCAAGCACTAACCCAAGCTTTCCGCACAGCCTGGGGACGCTGGTCCCTCAAGGCTGAATCTACAGTAAATAGACTCTTTCTCACTAAAATTGTGTAACTTATCAAAGAGCCTGCAAGGAGTTTAATCTTTTTCCTGGGAAGAGACAATTTCACCCTGCTTTCCGAAAATGTCTGCTGAGCCCTGTGGCTGAGTCCTGTCTCCCTGGGAGTGGCCAGTTGGCCAGGGCAGCCCCGACCCTACCTGGATCTCCCTGCCCAAGCCTCAGTCTCAAGACCCCATGACAGAGTGTAGGGGGAGGCAGTGTCTCTGAGTCTTCCTCGGGGGACGTGTGCGGGCACAGAGATGGGGACGGGGCAGGCTCTGACCCCCAGGCCAAACCAAAGCTCCCACGCTGTCCATTCACAGCCATGCCTTCCCCTCGAACAAAACAGAAAGTACGAAACAAGGCTGCCTTTTAATTGCTATCAGATATTCGGATATCCCGTCTGACGTCAGCAAGGCCCCCGCGCCCGGCCGGAACCCGCAGGGATGGAGCAGCACTGCCGCCTGACTGCACCGAAGGGCTGGGGCAGGGTCGCTGTGCCTCTCGGCCTCCTTGCTGCCACCGTCTCTGAGCCTCGGGGTGCCTGGTGCACCATCTCCTCTTCGGGTCAGCCCAGCCTCTGGCGGCCCTCGGAAGGAGGGGAGGCAGGGGTTGGGGGGTGAGCCGGAGGCGGGGGTCCTGTCACGCACACATGCAGACTTGCCCTGTGTTGGCTTCGTTTGTTCTCCTCCTTTGCTAAAATGATCAGATAGTCCCGTGAAGCAGCTGCCAGCCAGGTGGACAGGGCAGCGGTGCTGGGATGCTGCCCGTCAGCTCCTTGGGCGTCCTGAGGCCCTGCCCTACTTCTGTATCTGGAACAGGAAGAGCCGCAGGTTGATGTTCTTGGCGGCCAGCAGCTTGTTGCACTCCACGGAGTCAATGATGGGCAGTGGCACGTAGTCCGTCTCGTTGCTCTCGTTGGTGAAGACGAAGTGGTAGATGACAGGGCTGATCCTCACGTCATCGTAGGGGCCCTTGAGCAGCAGGAAGGAGCACTCCAGTGGTGCTGTGACCTTGCTCTTGAGGAGGAGCTGAAAGGAGAGCGTACGCTTGCACGACAGGTTGGGGTTGCGCTCCGAGTCATTGACGCGAGCCTTCAGGACCCACGTCTGGTTCAGCACTGTGAACCTGGGTGTCTCGTAGTACAGGCGCGTGATGAAGTCATCTGTGCGGTACGGCCGGAACTGGACCTCTGTGGAGACAGACAGGGCCGGAAAGAGCCGGCTGTTAGTGTGGGCAGGGCTGGGCAGCAACGCCTTCCCTGACCAGGCCGAGGGCAGGCTCAGCCGGGGAGGAAGGCAACTTACCCGGGCACCGAGCTCTGCTTGTCACAAGCAAGCCAAACGCACCTATGGCAAATGGAGGCGCACACAAGCTTTGAGGGGAACAACTACAAACAGAATCAACATGGATTAGCTCGAGAGAGTCCAGAGGCTGCACGTGTCAGGCCACACCCCAGGCGTGCCCGACCCACGCTGGCCTCCCTCATCGCCCCGAGTCCCGGGTGTCCCCCAGGGTGGGGTAAGCAGACACACAGACAGGATGCGGTTCCGAGAACAAGTGCACTTTATTGGTTCTGATACAGAGGAGCTGCCAGAAAAGCCAGCAGGCGGCTGCGGCACCCAGCCCTGCCCGAGGGGAGCACCAGGTCCAAGGGCGCCAGGCCTGATCCGGAGCTGCCAGTCAGCAGGCAGCCCTGCCTGCATAGTCCTCTTGGGCAGCCCACAGCCTGTGGCCGGCAAGTCCCTCCGCGGAGGCGTGGGTTCCCAGGTGGCCAGTCTTTCCTGCATGAATGGGGCTTCCCACCTGGCCATGGCCGCAGCCACAGTGCCCCAGCCTGCCTAGACTCCATGAGGCCCTGGTATCTCCAGGACAGCTAAGGCTGCTACTCACCACAGGCTGTGGCTGCCGCAGAGACCCCAGGCCCTCAGCCTCTCTGGCCTGCTTGGGCCCACATCCCGCTGGGCACAGTCCAGGCAGCAGGGCGAGACTGGCTGCCCATGACCGCCCTGCTTGCGCCACGCCTGGTGCTCTGAGCTGGCCGCCTGGTGTGGGCTGAGAGTAGAGGGACGGAGCTTCGTCCAGTGGCCCCAGTATCAACAGGTGCTTCTTGCTGTCCTCTGGGCCAGACTCTGGCCTGGCTCCTGCTCCCCGACATGTTCAAAGGCGGTGGCAGTGGCCCAGAGATCCAGTGTGCCTGCGCACGCATCCAGCCTGTGCGTCTGTGGGTGTCCACTCCTGGTTCTACAGTTTGAGTCGGGCACCCTCAGCTTGTTCTGGAGCCCTGTCCCTGCACGGCTTCGTGCCAGCCTTGAGAGGCCCACGGCCGGGGCAGTGACTGCCTGTAGGCAGGACCTCACTCGGCAGGGTGCTCTTCTCGCTCCAGGGTCCGAGGGGCAGGCCCCTAGCTCCCAGGCCCCCTGAGACCTGCTCGCTTTCTGGTTAGACCCTGACTGTCTTGAGGCTCTGGAGCCCCACAGTGAGATGCCACCTTGCAGGGGTGGTGAAGCCAGGGTGGGGAGGACAGGTGGGCGGGGCTGCCGTGAGAGCCACACAGGTGTGCACCTGGGGTCTGCCTCGGCCTCTCCTTCTGCTCAGTCTCCGGCCTCTCTTCTTGCCCGAGGTGTCCTCCTGTCCACCGGGAGCTTGTCCAGAGCCCAGCCGTCTGGTGCCGTCAGTGCCCAGTGCCCAGAGCCTGCTGCCCCCAGGCTCCTGGCTGCCAGCCCCCCACGCCCACACCTGTGTGGCATGCAGCAGGCGGCGGGGCGCCTCACCTGTGTAGCCGATCTTCTCGAAGCTGAGCAGGCTGAAGATGCTGTTGTACAGCTGCATCTCCTTGCGGTGGCTCTGGTCCATCCCATCTAGGATCTCCATCAGCTCGCTGCCTGTCTTGGTCGGGTGGGCACATGCAGCTTCGTGCACTGTCAGCTCATGGAAGGGGCCGTGCCATGGGCAGCCGATGCGTTTGTACTTGCACTGGGTTACCCTGGGGGAGGCAGGCACATCACTCACAGCCTGAGCCCCCAACAGGCGGCTGCAACAAGCTGTCCTCCCACATGGCTTCCATCCAGCTAAGAACCCCTTCCTGCAGGACACACATAACTGTGAGCCCAGCCCCCAGGATGAAGTCAGAGTGGCAGTGTGTGGAGAGGAAGGAGACAGGCAATAACAGGGAGAGAGAGGGGAAGGAACAGTGCAAGCTTGAGCCCGCATGCCCCGCACCACGGCGTGGTTATCTCCTCTGCTTGGCAGCGGTGGTCTTGCACAGCCTCACTGCAGGAGACTTGGTGGCTGCCTCCACTGGATGGGTAGCCATGGGCAGTGTAGCCTCACACCAAGCTCCCTGAGGTCCTGTGTTGGACACGCTGTCCTGGGCCCTTCAAGAGGCTCCCTCACAGCCACAAAGAGCGCTGGAAGGCTAGGCTCATGTCTGGATAACAACTGGACGCAGAACCTGCCTGTCCTCATCCTGTGCAGGCACCCTCCCCCAGGGCCGTCGCTGGGCTACACAGGTGGCCTCCGAGGCCCAGGCAGCAGGGACGGCCAGACCCCCCTGCACAGGGCCCTGCTGCACCAGGGTGGGCTTCCAGCAGTCCTCAGCCCTGGCTGTGAGGCTGAGCCCCTGACCCTCAGTTACCTGTCCTGGCATTCCTCTTTCTGGTGCCTCTCCAGGAGGGAGCGGGGAAACTGGCGCAGGCAGAAGCCACACTCTGAAGGCAGCTCGCTCACGGCTTTCTCCACGGCCAGGTTCCGGCAGCAGAGGCTCTTACTGATCTCACAACGACAATTGGGGCACGTGGCCTGCTCCTCCTTCAGCCGGGCATCTGCTAGTAGGTGGATAAAACAGCCAGCGCACATCAAGTGACCATTAGTACACTGCGAAGAAGGAAAGGGAGACGAAGCTCACAGACCTGCGGGCTTATGCTCGCACACACCCGCCCATGCCCGTCAGCTCTGGCCACGTGTCCTGAGGGACTCCAGCTAGTGCAGAGGGGCGCACGTGCCTGTCCCGAGTCGTGCTGGAGTGTGGTGAACACCGAGAGCTGCTCAGGAGAGACAAGCAGAGCCAGCTTGGGTTCTTGCAGAGATTAGAGGTCCTAAGGGAAAGGCCTCATCAGCTCACAGAGGCAACAGCTCGCCCTGGCAGTGATGGGTGCAGCCACCTGAGGCTTAGAGCCAGGCTTTTCCCTTAGGGACCAGTGACTGCCCCGACTCCCCTACAGGTCCAGAGTTTGGGAGCCCTCCAGAAACGCTGGGCTCTTGGCCAACACTGTCAGGTGGGGAGCGGACACGGCTCCCACACTGGGGCAGGCATGTTCTCTAGGTCTTCAGAAAGGCCATTCATCCTGGGTTGAGAGGATCTGGTTCAGAGAGGTCCTGAGAGGACCAGCCTAGCCTGGTCCTTCTATTCCAGCCCTCCCCAGGGAGCCCAGGTGAGAGGAGGCAGCTGTCCCCCCATCCAGGGAGGTCGGCTACCTGCAGAGGCCTCCTCAGAGCTGGAAGGCAGGAGCCAAGCTGGCCCAGGACAAGGGCAGGTGAGCACATGGGGAGTGCCTGGGGAGTGCGAGTGGGAGTGGGGGCTCTGAGTGGGTGCCCAGCCTGCTGGGGCAACCAGGGCTGGCAGGAGCAGGGCACCTCCCGCTGGGCTCCCTGCCTGTGTGGGCTCCCAGCACGGCCAGTGGCCCATCCTGGCTCTCACTCCCTCAACATAAGCCTCGAGCGTCCACTTGGTGCCACTGAGAGACACTCAGCAAGCTGCGGTCCCAGCCCATAGGGGCTCCCAGCATGGGAGGCGGGAAGCCCAAACCAGAACCAAGAGGTCCAAGAGCAAACAAAGCCTTTTGTACCTGAGCAGACACAGCTCCCACAGCCCTGGCTGGAGTGGGGTGTGCAGGCTGAGGCATTCCAGGGCCAGACAGGAGTGACGGGGATGTGATGTGCCTCCCACCTAAAGACTCACAGCTCACTGAGGGGAGCAGTCAGCAGAGTTGCTCCTGTCCTGATGCCTCTCCAGCAGCTGGCCCAGGCTTGCCAGCCATGCAAACCTCCAGAAAGCCACTGGGCCACCGGCTTCCTTTGGGACCTGGGACCCTCTTGAGAATGGGATGTGGTGCAGCAGAGGGGCCTGCCCAGCCCCAGCCTCTCTACAAGGTGTGTGTCAGGGAGGGGACACTCACAGGGCCCTGCCTGGTGGTGCTGGGAGGCCACCCCTGCACATGTGGGGCCCTGGTAAGCCTGAGCTGCCATCCTATTGCTTCAGCGGCCTGTGCACCCCAAGCTAAGGAGCGGCCAGATGCTGGGGCTGTTTGCTCAGCACCTGTGAACCAGGCCTAAGGTCTGCTGAGTCAAAGGACCTACACGTGGAGAACCGACAGTGGGGACAAAGCCCTTTTTCATGGAATCCACCTCCACATGACCACCACCCATTACCTGCATTCAATTCTCAAGTTCTCAGTTTGGTTAAAAATTAAAATGACAGGCAGTGGCTCATACCTGTAACCCCAGCTCTTTGGAAGGCCGAGGCAGGCAGGTCACCTGAGGTCAGGAGTTACAAGACCAGCCTGGCCAACATGGTGAAACCCCGTCTCTACTAAAAATACAAAAATTAACCTGGCGTGGTGGTACATGCCTATAATCTCAGCTTCTCGGGAGGCTGAGGCAAGAGAATGGCGTGAACCCGGGAGGCGGAGGTTGCAGTGAGCCGAGATGGCGCCACTGCACTGCAGCCGGGGAGACAGAGTGAGACTCTGTCTCATAAATAAATAAATAAATAATTAAAACATACACAGCTGCCTGAGTCTGGCTCTGATTGGGTGGGGACAAGCTGAGGCCTGCCCCAGGAGAAGGTGTGAAAATCCACCAGCTAAGTCCAGGGGTCAGCGGTGGGTGGACTCTGGGCAGGAGTGGGCACAGACGCTGTTGAAGCAGCTGTCCCACGGGAGGCACAGACCAAGGGCCCACACCACTGCCTTCTCAGAGCCCCCCACCCTGGAGGCGTACCACTCCATGTGGCCAGCTCTAGACACCTGATGAGACTGCCCGCGTCCCCTGGACGAGGTTCTGGGCCCAGCTCTGCACGTGCAGTGTGTCCTGAGCACAGGCACAACGGTACTCTTCTTGGCTGTGGCCCAGCCCCCAAGGGAGTTCCGGGCAGGGCTGGAGCACCTGATCCCACCCACTAAGGCCATCTGGCCTCTCTTCCTGGCTCTGGATAGCCCAGGAAGATTCGAGGTGGAGTCCTGGACCCTCCCAAGGGAGCACTGAAGCTACTGAGCACATCACCACTTACCTCCCAGCACTGCCAGCCTCTCCCCCGAAAGCTACCCCAGCTCCTGGGCCAGTCCCTGGCCATAGGCCTCATTCCTTTGGGGCCTCTAGACCCCAGCATGGGCTCAGTCAATTCCATACCATGGGGAGGCAGCAGTGGCCCTGCCGTCCTCTGGCTCCCTCTGGGCCTCTGAGAGGAACTGCAAGCTCTGAGGAGACACAGGGCCACTGCCCCTTCAGCCGCAATGGTGCCTGCCACTCAAGTCAGAACACAGGGAGTCCCTAAGGTGCCCTGGACCACACTGGCCCAGCAGCCAAGGGACACAGCCACACCTACCCCCAGACCCTCCTCACTGGTCAAGGGACACCCTCCAGGTGCACGGCCCAGGCCCGACCAACACTCAGCCCAGGAGGTCTGTCCACAGCAGGACGGTCACCCGTCACAAGCTCCAGAGCCTTCCCCACCATCTGGGTCCCCTCAGCCCCTGAGCAAGACTCTGGCTCCACACCAAGGCCAGGCCACAGGCAGCTGCATCCTTGGCCCTGGCAGCATCTGGTCAGATGCACCTGATTCTGACTTGTGCCCACCACCCGACAGAAGCTGGGCCCTGGAGGGCTCCACACGGTCCAGGGGTTGGCATGGGGCAAGGCCCACAAGAGCCCAGGCACCTTCAAGAGCAGCTGCTGCAGCACCCAGGCCAGGCCACCTCTCACTACCAGCCAAGAAGACTCCACGTGAGGCGAGAGGAGGGAATCTCACACTCCCCCACAACCAAGGATGACATCATGGGGATGACATCACTGGGGTGACGTCACATGGGAATAATATCACGGGGTGACATCATGGGAGATTGACATCATGGCGGGACTGACATCACAGAAACATGACATCACAGGGGAATGGCATTATGGGGGTGACATCACAGAATGATATCACATAGATGACATCAAAGGGGGATGACATCGTGGCAGGCTGACATCACACTGACATCACGGGGTTGACATCAGAGGGAGTATTGGCATCAGAGGGGATGATATTGTGGGGAACTGACATCATGGGGGGACTGACATGGGGGATGACATCATAGGGGTGATATCACAGGGGACGGCAACATGTGGTGACATCACGGGAATGTCACATGGGGGAATGATGTCACGGGGTGACACTGCAGGTAATGCTACCACGAGGGAATGACATCACAGTGGACTGTCATCACAGGGTAATAACATCACAGGGCCTCCTGGCCCCTCCTAGGGCAGATGTGGGCTTGAAGCCACAGTGCTGGGCTCAGACCCCAGCCCACAGGTCACCAGTAGTATGACCCTGGGCTCTCCTCTTGGGGCCTCAGTTTCCTCACGTGCACAGGTGATGAGTATAGGACCAGCTTCATTCTGTGCTGATGAGGTGGGATGGGACAGGGTGGCACTGCCCCACACCCAGCAGGCACAGAGGAAGTATCACCACCTTGGGCAGCCATGGCGGAGCTGCTGGGGCTGCCAACCCCAGGAGCCAGACCCCAGGCCCCTCTGCAGATGCTGATACACACAGGTGGCCCAGAAATGGCCATTTGCACCTGCATCCTCAGGACAGCACCCAGCCCTCCCCCCTGCCAGCTACAGGCAGCTCATGCAGACACAGGATCTCCACTTGAGCTACTTCTTCCCTGGGGTTAAAGGGGAGCTGGATGGGCTAAACAGGCTCAAGAAGGAGCCCTGACCCTGTCCCCCAGCTGAGGGCCCCGACTTTCTGGTGGTCCCAAGGTCCTATGGTCAGCTGGCCTCGTAGGAACCTTTTCGAGCCTGGACTGCATGGGTCTCTCAGACCCTGGGGACCTCCTGTTTCCCACTGGAGGATGGCATAGTGCCCAGGCCCATGGGAGCAGTGCCCTCACTCACCTAGGGCTCAGGGACCCACCGGCCCTTGACAGAGGTCGTCAGAGCCAAAATGCAGCTAAAGGGCTTCCCTGTGGCACAAACCACAAAAGCGCTGCTCAGCCAGTTGGAGGTCCCCCTTCCTCTGCCATCTGCATGCAGGCCCCACCAGGGCCAGTGGTGCTTCAGGACACACCCCACATGCTCGGCCCCTGACCTCCTGGATCAAACATGGGTCTGAGAGGGACCGGCACATTGTCCAAGGCCACACAGCTGGTTAAGTGTGAAGCCAGGACTCAAACCCTCTGCCCAGGCTGGATTTGAAATCCCTCAACTGCTACTGCTGTCAGACCTCAAACGGGGGCCAGTCAATACCCAGAGTCAGGCTCACATTCAGAACAAGGCTGCTTAGATCTGAAAGTAACTCAAATGATAACCACCACAGAAAATAAAAATTCTCAATTAGCCAGATTCCAGAACCTCTTCCTTGCTCCTGTGAGTTTTAAATACCTAAGCAGACATAGTTACAAAGATCTTTCTTTTCTGCCACTTTCCTCACCGCAAAGAGCAAGTCAGCTGCAGTCCTGTACTGCTGCCCAGGAGACTGGGGAACAGGGGCCCGAAGCTCCTTGGACATGTGGATGGTGACTCCATCCCCACAGGACTGTGCACTGTTGGACTGGCTGGGGGCGTGGGGCTCAGGCAGAGAGGAGTCATCTCTGCTTCCTGGGCTGTTA